TCTCTCTCTCTCTCTCTCTCTCTCTCTCTCTCTCTCTCTCTCTCTCTCTCCGTTCATCCATCAATCTTAAGGGTGTAGAAGCCTAAGCCAACCCCTCTATGTCTAGCTGGGAACACTGAAGCTCAGAGAGGAGGCTGCATTTTGGTCCTGGAAGATGCTGGTAGGGCTCCTGACCTGAGTTTCTGCTGGTAGGACACAGTCTCTAAATAATACTACAGCCAATGGCCCATTGTAGGACAATGACCTATGCAGCAGGCCAATAGGACATGGCAGAGGCAGCCTTTCACTATAGCTCTGGTCCTGATTTGTTGCACATGGTCCAGACCTTTCTGGGTCCTGGTTTCCTCAACTGTGCAAAGAGAGCTCAGTGTACATCATGAGTCTCTAAACATCCTTCAGCACTGATATTCCATGAGCTCGTAGAACACCTAGAGACAGGGATCTCTGTCTCTGAGCTTACCCACGTTCTCCTCTAAATACCCCCCAGGTTATAAGCTCCTTTGGTCCCTCTGTCACAGCCACAATAGGTGGAATGGTCACCCTGAGTGGGGAGGGGATTTACATTGTTTTAGAGTTGGAGATGACTTTAGGGTTAGTTACTGCTTGGTTTATGAGGCCAAGCATATGAAGTTAAAGACTCCCATCAGAGTCCTGAAACTCAGAGATGGAGAAGTCTTTGGCTGCATGAAGACACCAAGCCAGAGTGATAGCCCACAGGACAAGGATGGAGAATTCCTATCAGCCCAGGGTCACCCCCTTTACCCCAGTCTTCTCTTCAGGGCATGCTCCCCAGCATACTCACCTACCATGGTGGCCTTTAGAGTGGACACCACATCTTTGTCAGTCCTGAGGTTCTCACTACCCAGTCCTCAGAGGTCAAACTGTCTGAGCGCTCTCTGACCCAGGGCCGTTGCTCCTGTTGTGTGCCAGCTTCCCGAGACTCCTGCCTGGGGAGTGCCTCAGACATGGTTCATTCCCTCCTGTCCCCCTTAGGAACCCAGAGAAACCATTTGGAAAATTGACTCTGTTCAGACCCCAGGGCTCTAGGGAGCCACATCAGAAAGGAACGGAAAGTTGAGGACAGGAGGAAGGGAGAGAAGGTAAGTGTGTGCTTCAGCACTGTGGACAGCTCCCGTCACGCTGGGGCACCCAGGAGGCAGGGAGTCTGGACAAGTCCCAGGACCCAGCATCAATAAGCACAATTCATTCTACCCACAGAGGATCTATTATTATTCTCACTTTAGAGATAAACAAAGTCTGGTTCAGAGAACTTGGTAATTTGGTAGGGTACAGAACCAGTCAGTGCTGGTTGAAATTTCATGAATGAGAAGGCTTTTCTACCCTCCTTTTGGTTTGGATAAGACCTCAGGTCCCGGGGGCTTACCCACACCCCTTCTCCACCTGTTCCTTCTTACCTGGGCAGCCAGCTCTTCTCGAGGGCCGTGTCTGCTAAAGGCTGGCATTATGCCTTGCTTCACCGCTTAGACAGCTTTGTCAAGTGGAAATGGATCTTGTTTTGTTTTGTTTTGTTTTGTTTTGTTATGTTATTCATTCAACTGGAAATCACTAAGCACTCATCTCTCAGTTCTGTCTGGAGTGAGTCGAAGCCGCTTTTTCCCGCTTCCCTCAGTTATACCCCTAATTCCTTCCCTTTTCCCCAATCTCATCTTCCTCCTACATATTTCCCTAGATAATTGGGCCCCATCATCATGCGGAAAGAACAAAGATTTTTGCTCTCCACAGACTTCTTCTATCAAGGATTGGGAGGGCCGCGAGAGTCGATGCATTATAAAGTAGGTAGGTGTCATTTTACTGCTGAAAGGTGATGGATGTTGCAAAATGAGCATCGACCACCACATACATAATTTGGCACAAGAGTTTTATATAACTGCACAGTCTTTAGCATGATTTTAACAGGTAAGAAAGAGCAGATATGTCATAAGTTAATTAGGGTTGTGTATTTTTATATAGCCTGGGAGGGCTTCAGGGCCTCTGTTGATGTGCCAGATGTGGGCGCTGTTGGCTCTCACATCCATTCTATGGACCCTCAGCAGGATGGCTAAATTCGGAGGGAGGAGCAAGGGAGGAAAGCTAGGACTCCGCATTCACTACAGGGACAACCCAGAAACTCCCAGCATGCTTTGTCATGGCTGCTGGCTGGTTTCAGTCAATGGGAGACACTCACAGACATCAGGAAGATGGAGAAAGGGAGAAGCTGGGAAATTATCCCCCTCACTCTGTAGGTGTATTTTGAGCTATTTACTCTTCTTCCTATTTCTTGTGTATTTGAAAGTTTTCATTAGTTAAAGTAATAATATCAACAAACTATGTAGGGATATGAATTCCACTCCTCAGCACTAATAGTTTAGTTGTTTTTCTTTTTCTTATATGCCACTTAAAAAAATTCTGAACTATATTTTTTCCTTCCTTTCTTCCTTCCTTCCTTTCTTTTTTTATTTATTTATTATGTATACAAAATTCTGTCTGTGTGTATGTCTGCAGGCCAGAAGAGGGCACCAGACCTCATTACAGATGGTTGTGAGCCACCATGTGGTTGCCGGGAATTGAACTCAGGACCTTTGGAAGAGCAGGCAATGCTCTTAACCACTGAGCCATCACTCCAGCCCCCTCTTTCTTTCTTTCTTTCTTTCTTCCTCTCTCTCTCTCTCTCTCTCTCTTTCTTTCTTTCTTTCTTTGATGTAGGTGGGCCTTCTGTTTATGTGTTATTTTCATTGGTTAATAAAGAGACTGCCTTGGCCCTTTGATAGGACAGAAAATTAGGTAGGCGGAGTAAACAGAACAGAATGCTGGGAAGAGGGCAATGAGGTCAGACATGCTGAATCTTTCCCAGTAAGCCACCACCTCGTGGTGCTACACAGATTACTAGAAATGGGTTAATCAAGACGTGAGAGTTAGTCAGTAACTAACTCTCTGGAGATAATGGGCCAGGCAGTGTTTAAATGAATACAATTTATGTGTTGTTATTTCCGGGGCTAAGCTAGCAGTGCGGGAGCCAGGCAGGATGAAAAGCAGGCCTGCCTGCAGCTCCTCGCTACAAATGGTGTGCAGACATGGATAATTGAATCCACAGAAAGCCTGAGAAAGTTTGGGAAAGAATAGAGTAAAGTATGTTAACATGTTTTCTTGGTGGCAGTAATTTCTCAGGTCTGCTCTGCTTGCTAGAGGCAAGCAAGCGCTCCATCTAAGAGAGGCTTCCTGACTCAGCTTTAGCTGCAAAACCCTGCAGTTCTTTAAGAGGTCCTGCCATGAAACACTTAAACGGTGTTGATGAAAAGCTGAATGCATGCTTTTTGGGTTTTCAACCATAGCAGGAAAAAAGCTATGCCGTTTTAAAATGCTGGCTTTTTGAGCTGTCCTGCCGGGGCAAACTCTGCCTCTTTCAGGCAGGCAGTCCAACTATAGAGGATTTGAATGTGGTCTGTGAGCAGAATGATGCAGTTTTCTTGCTGGCAGGGACCTTGAAACGTCACAGAGTTGTGGCAATAAAAATGACTCCAGTGGTACCTCTGCCATGAGGCTGGAAAGCTAAGGAATGGGCTGGATCCAGCCATCAAAGCCATGGCTTTAATCCTCTCCTTAAAGACTCATGTAGTCAGAAAAAGAGAGAGAGATACAGTAAAGAGAGATTAAAAAAAAACTCTAAATGGTTTACAGTGTGTTAAAAATATATGCTGGCTAAAGGTTAAAGTTCTTAAAAGTAAAAAAGAAAAAAAAGGAGTAGTTGGGTGTGGTGGTACACACCTTTAATCCCAATGCCTGGGAGGCAGAGACAGACAGGTCTCTGTGAGTTTAAGGTGTGGTAGTTTACACCTTTAATCCCAGCACTGGGGAGGCAGAGACAGACGGATCTCTGTGAGTTCAAGGACAGCCTGGTCTACAGAGTTATTCTAGGACAAAGGTATACAGACAACCTGTCTCAAAAAGTAAAAGTAAAAATAAAAGAAAGAGAGGTTAAAATAAAGATGGAGAATACACAGAGAATCTTGATACTGTATGCTATTATGCTCTCTTTGAATTGTTTGAATGCTGAGGAAGGAGCAACAGCTGCTGAAAGACTTTTGTTTATAAATGCTGCTGAACTAACCCAAGATAGGTAATTTGAAAATACCTTGGCCTCAAAATTGAAGTCAAAAGGTATGTTATTTTGGAGAAGAGATTTTGCTTTTGTTTCCACAGAAAATGAGAAGCTGTGGATTCATTCTGAATTAAGAAAAATCAGGTTCGATAAAGGAAGACCACCTGAGAAATCTCCGATAGGAACAGATGGCCCAGATGACAGAGTTCTTAATCCAGAACAGGTTCAAGACTGCTGCCTGAGATGATCAAGACTCACAGGAATCTCCAGTTAGGACTTGATTATAACTCTAAATTTTCTTTAGGTCCCCATAAGATTATCATTGCCCCCAACCAGCAGGAAGTAGCCTGAAATACTATGCCCACATTCCCAACAAATGGACTATGGGTATTTTCCTTTGTTTAAAAAAAAAAGAGGGAAATGGTGCAGGAGAATTATCTGTATTCTGTCAATCATGTATTTTAATAAAACGCTGATTGGTCAGGCAGGAAGTAGAGGTGGGGCAATGAGAATAGGAGAAGGCTAGGGAGGAGGAAGCTCCCTCCGCCATTCCTGCCCAGACCACCAAAGAAGCAACATGTGAGCTGTCAGCTGAAAAATGTACCAAGCCACATGGCTCACATAGATCAGAATAACAGGTTAATATAAGCTATAAGAGTTAACAAGAAGCCTGAGCTAATGGGCCAATCAGTTTATAACCTAATGTAGACTTTGTGAGATTTTCTTTGGAACTTGCCGGCTGTGGGGTACCGGGCGGGACAGAAACCCCAACAAGCCGGCCTTCATGCTTCATGTTACATTTCCTTCTTTCTCTCTCTCTTTCTTTCTTTCTCTCTCTCTTTCTTTCTTTCTCTCTCTCTTTCTTTCGGTTTGTTTTTGCTTTTTTGTTGTTGTTGTTTTCTTTTGATTTTTTGAGACAGGGTTTCTCTGTGTAACTCTGGTCATCCTGGAACTCGCTCTGTAGACCAGGCTGGTCTTGAACTCAGAGAGTTCCATCTGCCTCTGCCTCGTGCTGGGATTAGAGGTGTGTACCTCTACCGCCTGACCCTAAATTATACTTTTCTGTGTTATATCACATATTTCCACAAAGTCAGTATTATCCCACAGGTTCTATAGGTCCTAAGTCGGAACACAGGTTAGCCAGAGACTTCTGCTTCATATGTGGCAGGCTGCAATTAAGGAGCCAGGCCTGGGTCTCATCTGGAGACACAATTAAGGGAAGATCTGCTCCCTAGCTCCCTTGGTCTTGAACTGTGGGGTCTAGCTGCCTCTTCAAAACCAGCAACAGAGAGCTGACCAGAAAGACAACCTAACATAGTGTAACATTAACTGATCTCGTAGTATCATCTCTGCGTGTCTTTGTTTGGCAGCCAGCGACAAGCACCCCCTCACTCATGGGAGGTAGGAATTGCATTGTTACAAGCTGATCACTGCAGGCTTGTGGTAGTGGGAGAACCCGATAGCTCAAAGGCATCCAAAGGTAAGTCATTTTCTTGAGCAGTATCAGAAATTGAACTAGGGCCTGGGCCTCACTTCATCCCCACTGTGCAGTCTGTCCCTCCCCCCTACCCCCCCCCACGCCCTGATTCCCTGCTTCTCCTTCCTGCTCAGCTCCATGCTCCATCTGGGATGCGTTACCCGAGCCCATCTGTTTGGAGCTAACCACTAATTAGCTCTAGAGGCCAGGCAGTGATGGTACACACCTTCAGTCCCAGCACTCAGGAGGCAGAGGCAGAGGCAGATAGATCTCTGAGAGTTCAAGGTCACCCTGGGCTACACAAGATTGATCCAGTCTAAAGGGAAAC